CATCAATACTGTTATCTTCTGCATGAAAGTTATATTTTAGAAATCATGATTCTCGAAGCACACACTTTAAAGCTATCTGTTGACATTCATAGAAATATCTCATCCTATTAAAAAAAATGGTGCCATGGAAAGCTATTTCTGATTTACTTTAAAGTATAATTCAAATTAATTAGTTAATGTGTAACTCTAAAATTGTTGATTTCTCATTTATAGAATCTTGGAAAGAACAATTATGGTTTGAATACAGCTTTACAAACAAATTTGGTTGATTCACGAGGACGTATTATGAAAAATGTCAATTCGGTACCAATTAAAGTACCATCATCTGCGGAAATGAAAAATGCCCGAACAAGGTTAATTATATGTGCATATAAATTATGATTTCTTTTCAGATAAATTATCAAAATGAGGCTATAAATTTTTGGTTTAAAAATTTTGAGTATAATTTTTTTTTCTTTTAAAAAATTTATATATTACTGTGATATTAAGTATTTATAATCAAGTAAGTAAATAATAAATGATATGAGTATAGACTAATACACAATAGTTTCTTTTTTTCGAATTGTAGTGAAAGTATTAATTTCAGACATACCGCACGACAAGTTGAAAGTGATGCGGACAAAGTAGTACCAATCAAATTCGGTTCAACTTCAACTTCTAGACGGCGTTAAATTGAAATGAACAAGTCATCCGACATAATTAATCAACAATTTCCTATCTTATTCAGCCGTTACTTTATCATCATGTTTATCTTATCCAAAAAAAAAAGCTGGTCTTATGCTTACAAATGATTGAATATAAGACAAGATAATTTTCAAGTATTATTCCTGGAAGCAGCATATCATTATGAGTGTGTATTGTATTTATTTTATTTTATTTTATGTGGGGGATGTTTTCATTTTTATTTTTTTTTTCAAAAAAAAAGGTAAAAACGTTAATTATTTGTTGCAACATAACTCTTAACTCAGAACTTAAAACTTTTTTTTGACTGTTCTCATTTTTTTTTAATTAGCCTAATGAATTGCTTGTTACATACTATCAAATCTTTTAAGATTTCTTAATAATTTGGGACAAATGAGTCAAGACGTGATGACAAAATGATATAATATGGTTTTTGGTTAACAATTCTAAACTAATTCACTATCTGAGGAAGAATTACTATTAATAATTTAAAATAATTTTTGGTCAATTTTAAAATGGTTATATGCTAATGTAACCAATAAAAAGTAGTTATTAAAGATGAATAAGTTTTAGTAAATAATATCTAAAATTGCAATCGGAAAAAGTGAAACAGCCTGAAATAGTGAAAGAATTTCGAAAAAAATTACAAAATAGCATGTAAAAAACAAATTTTCTTCTTGAAATTCAGAAGTGAAAATTTAAAATTCAGTGGTGACGCAAATGATCGATAATTCATGACTTATATAATCGATTCATTTCATTCATCGATTAACACTTAGTAAGGAAAGTCATGATCAATATAAGTTAGTGATGATCATCTTCAATTAATTAATCTCTCCTTTTAATATGACAATTTCATGTTATACAATTTAAGTGCCCGAAATTTTGATGAATATTTATTCTCAAGCAAGAATAGTATTGTTCAAGTCTTCCGGATAATATATTTCATTCATCAATCAACACTTTGTAGAAAAAGTCATAATCAAGAAAAGTTATTGATCAACTGCCTCAATATTTTTTTAAAAATATTAATTTATCAGCATAATGAAAAATCATTAAAAGTATGAAATAAGATGAAGAGGAAATCGGAGAGGAAAAAAAATTTAATTGTATTAAATGTTTCTTCTTTTTACAAAATTAAGATAAGTAAACCGAAATAAACAAGTTTCTTCATAGAATTTCTGGTGTCAAAAGAAATGAAATGAAAAAAAAAAACAAATGAACAAAACTTTGTTGAATTCATTAATCAGTTAATGGTCATATGGGAAGCAGTTCGGAACGAGATTGGAATCATTCTGAAGTCATCAGTTCCAAAATATGAATCTGGACTGGCATTATTTGGTAATGATTAGTAAATGTCTTTTTTTTTTGCTTGTAAAAAATGATTCATGCATTTCACGTGACAGTGAATTGTACAGTTTACCTTTGTCAGGTTAAACATGTTGGCGGAATTTTCATTTCAATGATGTCGATTTTTTCCTTCAAAGATACCTGTTTTAAAAGTTTCCAAACAGTATTTAACTTTTTTTTAATGGTCGCTTTTTTATTTTAAAGGTTCGTGTTTTAAAATTTTCCAACAATATTTAACTTTCTCGATAGATAATTTTTCAACATTCATTCACTTCATTAGTAATCAAAAAACTTGTAAAAAAAAATATTGAAAAAGTAATTTAGGACAAATTTCAACTGTTTTCGATTTTTTATTTACATTTTAGATTCAGGTATTAATATTTAAAAAAATCATCAAAATTAGAAAAAAAATTGACATCGTGTTTTATTTTTCGAATAATTTTGTAACAAATGCAAGTTTAAATTATTTTAGACGATGATTGGGAAGCATTTAATTTTAATTATACAACAATTAATATTTAACATAAGCTCATTTAATGATTAGACAAAAAATATGAAAAATTAAATTTATTCATTGAAATAAAAGATTGTAAACTTAATGATGTATTTTTGGCTCTGCCAATATCAGTAATGATAACAGTAAAATATAATTTATAAAGAATTACAACCTAGTGAAATTGCTTCTGTGCGATTCATAGCTAATACTTAAAAAGTTAAGATTTTATAATTTTTTAAATTTTAATTATCAATCAATATGATTGAAATTTTAGAAAAAAACACCAAACTCAATTACATGCAATATTTGAATTCAGGCATTTTTAAATCGTTTTGTTTATATAAAATCAACAATTCAATTTAAATCCACCATTTAAAATAATTTACTAAATATAAAATGTTCAAAACTCTTTTTCATGTTAACCAGTTTTGAAATTCTAAACATTGTTTAATTTGTTTTAGAATTTAACTAATTTTGGCTTTTCTTTTTAAATAAAGGTCTTCCACATTTATTAACCGATAAGTAAACAATATTTTATCATTGACTGATAACCCAAATAATAATTTATCATCAATAAATTTTAACAAAAGTGAAAAAAACGGAAGTGTCGTTTTTTAGTGATAGTAATATTAACAATTATTGCTAACTGATAAGTAAACAATAATTTTATCACCAGTATTACCTTCTAATCTTCTATCATTCAGCAAAAAACTGATTGGAAATTGATTAGACTTTTGTAAATAGGACTCAGAAAAAAGGAGGAAGAGAAAAATTTTATTTTGTTGCTTGATTTTATAATAATTAATAATTAATTATGGTGATTTTTTGTCGCAACTAATAAGATATTTTTTGTGATAACTACGAATTAATTGTGTTCATTAATGAGACACTTCATTATGATAATTAATAAGATGATGAAATTTTATTTCAATACAATTTTTGCATATGTTTATTGTTAGTAAAATCAGATAAAATAGGTATATTTTAAATGTTAAGCCAAATGTAGAAAAAAATAAATAAAATGAAATTAATGGAAATGTTTTTTCAGACTTAAATTTTTCAAATCTCAGAAATAAATATGTGATGTGAAATTTGAGAACCTGGAAAGTGTCTGAAATTCAATTTGCTTAAAATATCCATGCTCTGTTGATGCTATTAAGCTTCAATGGGGGAAAATCATTGACATTAAGGTTTAAATGAATCTTTCTCATTTCAAAATACATTTTTCTGCTGCAACTTTAACTTCTTAAAAAAAGAAGAAATGGGAAAGTTTTATTTCTTCCGCTCCTTTTCTTTTTCTAAAAACTTTGCATGAAATAATTAAATAACAATGAAATTTTCAGCGAAAAAAAATTTAAATTGTTGTCTCATTTCATTTTCATGTCGAAAAACAACTGAAAGATGCAGGAAGCAAAGGAAGCGGGAGAAAGAGAGAGAGAGAGAGGGAGAAAGAGAGAGAGTGAGAGAGGAAAGGAGAATTTTTGATAAATTAATTAATTGTCCATGCTATCATTTCGTTCAAGATAAAATAAGCAACAGCTGCAACAATAGAAAAAATTTCTTAAAAGAGACTCAAAAAAAAAAGAATAAATTGAAGTTTTAGGCGATAATTTATCTTATCGTTAATCTGTTGCTATCCATTTTTGTCCTTTCCTTAATTCAGCCATGACTTAGTAGAAATTTTTTTTAAATCAATTTTTTTAAAAAAAAAACTGTCATTTTGGTTAATTGTATAAATGTATTTTTCTCACTACCCATCTATCCGGCAATGAAATTGCGCTGGAACTAAAAACAGGAATTTAAAAAAAGAAAAAATTTTTTTAATTTTTTAAACATTTTTCTTTTTTAGGAGGGCAGAGCATAGGTGAATGCGGAAATCATAGTGAAATGGATGGCACTTAAATTTTCTTCCAAATGACCTTTCAGAAATTCTCATGTGGCATGTGCATTGAAATTCATTTATCACAAAAGAATATCAGTTTTCCTAAGTCAAAAAAAGGGTTCAGGATTTGCTTTCTATATTTATTTACAATTGGTTAAAATAAATCAAAATTTTATCCCTTTTTTCTTAATCACATTAGTTCACGCAAAGAGTGAATTTAGCTTCATAAAACAATGAAGAGAAAAATGAATAAATAAGTAAAGAAATAAACAAATGAGAATGAAAAACAGAATTGTTTATTCGAAGAGTTATAAAAATATGTGAATTAGAAGTATCATGTATTCTCCTCCCAATTTAAGATACAGAAAAAAAATCTTAAAAATTCGAAATAGTTCGATATTGATAATATTTCTTCCTTAGAATCTATATGAAACTTAAAAATTTATTAAAGTAAATCAAATTCCTATATCTTCAAATAATAAATTCGTGATAACAGATTGAAATTCGAAATATAGATTTGTTATAAACATGCGATAAGTGCTCATTCACGCTCTCAAAGATAACTTAGTGAGACGCAATAAGATAATATCAATGGTAAAGTAATAATAGCA